ATGCTTATGCTATAGGTGTATGCTTGGCTATAAGCGACAACGGTGCGTGTTTCGAGATGGCGTAAGATTTGGGAAAGTGCCGATAGCCAGGGTTTGGGGAAGGAAGGGGTGGGAGAAAGGGGAAAGTGATGGATGAGGGCTGGTGGATGAGGGTTTGAGAGATGGGTAGAGTTGCGGATATGGTTATACTTCGGTGCTGACGTCCTAGAAACGAGGTCGTTGGGTCAACCGGACTGGGCAAAGTGACGATCTTACTAGGAGTTTGCACAGCACAAAGCATTCACTACCCGAAAAGACAACATGTCGAATATTTCGGTATTTCCCATTGCCAAACCTAGCTATCCAAAACGCAAGCAACCACCATCCACCACCATCTCCTCTCTCCTCAGCATCCAAAACAGCAAAAGCCACCCTCCACTAAACAACCACAAACCACACCCTCTCTCTCTCCTACCCAACAGGCGGGATATCGTAGAAATGATAATCAAGATAAAGCATTAACCCTTTGTCCTCGAGAGTAGGCTCCGGAAGCAAGGAGTCATATATACAATATCGCTTCCAGCGCTCTCAACTCACTCACTCTCCACAGAAACAATCAACAGCAAGAAAGGAAAGGTTGCGCCGCATGGAATATGCGGCGGGGTATAGAACAAACGTCAATCAGCCGGGGCGGGTGGGTAGGTAGGTAGGTCAGGGTCGTATGTACCGGAGTAGATGTGTGTTTGGCGTGATTTACTGGAGGAACGTCGAAGAAGGTGTATTTTTTGTTGCGCAAAGCAAAGGCTTGCGCGACAGGGGACGTTTAAGGAGCGTATTAGACACTAGACCCGAAGGCAGTCTATGGTTCGCGCTGATCGTGACAAAGCAGAAGTGTAAGTGGTCTAGCGGCCATGGCGTGTTCGAGGGTCTCAAAGGACCCCTGGAGGGGTAGAACGACGGCCGATGATCGGGGGGTGTGGTGGTGGACCAAGAATCGAAGGTATCGCAAAACGGGAAGAGCAACGCGTAAATCAAACATCATCGTGGCGACATTACTATTTGGAGACAGGGTCGGAGCCGATAAGTGTACTAGACCCCAGGGAGTGGACGTCTGGTGTGCTCGAGAGTAGTGGCCGTGTTAGCGAATTGGGTGGTGCTGCGGATGCGACTCGACTTTTGCCCTTTCCATACCGCGCGTAACGTGGTGGGCGTTCTGAGGTTGGAGATGACAAGGGAGCAACTAGGGAGCGTTAACAGACCCAGGCACGGAAGGACATCTTAGGGGCTTGGAGGTATCCGGTCACCTCCGCTTCCATGCCCGCCAGAGTCTGTGCTGTCGCCTTCAATCGTCTTCCTCCAGTGCTGTGGCAAGCACACGCAGACCAAGGGGAAAGCCTTGATCTCGCTGTCGGATTCGACAGGTGATCGTCGGCCGCCGTTGCTTACGCCGGAGTCGCGCTGCTCGGCTTTCCGGGCTTCCCACTGCTCTGCCGATTCGGAAAGTCTTACACCTGTCGCCCAGCCGTCATCCCAGATGCCAACCACCTTGAGCATATCTCCTCTTTCTAGCTCGAACTCGTCGCCGGCACGAGGTTGGTAGGCCCAGAGAGTGGCAACAGTGTCGTTCGGGTGGATATCGTCCTGGGAATAGTAGTCTTTGAAGAACTGTAGCTGCTCGGACTGGCCGGAAGCGACACCATCCGGGCTGGAGAAGTTGCGCGTCTGGTCAGATCCAGAGAGTGGTGAAGAGCTCGCCCCGAGAGCAGAGTGGCTGGAAAGAGAACCTTGTCGTTTGGGGAGGTTACCGGCGAGATGGCCACGTATCGACTCGGGTGAATCATAAGCACCGAGTTGCGAGCCACCGTATGCGGTCATACGGCCGCCTCGATCGCTGTTCTGGCCCGAGGACTCTGATCCTTCCAAAGCCGACATACGCTGAACACGCGCACCGGGGAGAATGGTAGCGGGCGATTGACCGTCGCCTCCGTAGCTCATAGGTGGCATGGGCCCCTTGGGAGAGTGGCGTCGCGATGGCGATGGCGTGTTGAAGACGCTTCCAGCCTGGCTGTTCTTCTTGTGTCGCATGCGCATGCAGCAGAAGATGGCGGCTGCGATGATTACCGCAGCGCCGACGAGTGCTCCAATGACGATACCAGCGATGGCGCCTCCAGAAAGACCAGAATCACCTCCACCAGATCCGGCGCCGGCAGTGGAGCTCGGGGAAGAGGACGAAGTGCTTGAGGGGAACACGGGAGGCATCGAGACGGTTGTAGGTAAGTCGATACCTACGCAGCGCGATTCGACATTTGCGTTGACGCAGCAAGAGTCCGTAGAGTTGACGGTGCTGGTGGAACAGAAGAGGCAGAGTCCTTGGAGGTTGCCATTGTATCCACATTCGCTGGGCTCGTTTTCGGTCGCGTCGATACAGCTGCTGCTGAGAGAGTTGGCAGGGTTGGAGCAGCGGGCGAAATCAGAGCGGATTTCTGGGACTGCATTGTTACCAGGCGTACCGCACAGATCCGGGCTTGATACGATGACCTGTTCGCTGATGGCAAAATCGGCCTGAGATGGTCAGCATTTCGACGCGGTATGGGACGACAAAGACGATCTACATACGCAGGCACCAGCACAAAGTGGAGTCGCTTCCGTGTCGCCGAGTCCGCAGCTGTTCTTGGAGGATTGGATGATGGCGTTACAAAGGACAGTCGTTGTGTAACGAGCATAGAGGTTGGTGGTGCTAGTAAGGTTGACGCTTGAGCATCCCAATATATTCTCGTACCTGGGATGCGTTAGTTTTCCTGGTGCATATGAACAGTCGCGTGGTACGACTTGAACTAGACTGACTGTCGCTGTGCATATCCGGTACCGATGTAATTCTTCAAGCCCTCATCGAACGACCGAGTGTCTGACACGTATTGAAGAAATGGACTATGCGCGTTCACTGTTAGCCAACACTCTGTCTATCAAAACACATTTGACGTACAAGTTCGCGGTCAAATTGGTGTCGACAGAGGCGGAGGAAAAGGCCGGGCAGGCGGTTGAGCCCTGAAGCGACACGCAACTCCGTTGAGCCATTGCGGACGGTATCGATGCGGCGACGACAGCGAAGACAGCAGCCCTTTTTATTCCAGAGCGAGATTGCTTTTGGGAACAGGAGGTAGTAGTTGGGCGACGATAAGGTTCGGAGAGAATCATAGCGCCAACATGGTCGCAGCACTGGCACGGGCGCATGCTGAGTATATCTGTACGCGTAGAAGCTGTATGGCTTGTCGATAGATCCAATCCTAGGAAGTGGCCGTGGTGGAGTGTAGTAATCGACGATGGCGGGCCAGTAGGAGACGCGCAGCTTCACGAGTCCATTCGCGACATGTAGATAGGCCTCGGGGATGGGGTATATCTATGTAGGTGTCGAGATGGCGATGCAAGAGTATTAGAAAATAGAGACCGTATCGGTGGGGTGCCGGTCTAAGAAGGGAAGGAGAGGGCCTGGCTCGCAGTGGCAGAAAGAGCGTACTGGGTAGGGAAGCTGCGATGGGCCTCTACAGTGGAGAGAGGAAGGCACGCTTGAGCCTTGGGGGATGGTCAACACGCACGAACAGCGAGGCTACCGCGTCGGCTAGCTCCTGCTTCGGCGTCAGGGATCAGGGGTCCGGTCGTTCTTTCTGCGCGCGCTGATTGGGCTGACCCTGCCGAGGGGAAATGAGATGTACCTGGCCTAAAATTATCCTCCGATGCTTTTCGTCTCAGGTGCCTGGCGACGGATTGCGACTCCAGCTGGTCGAGTGATTAGGTATAAGACGGTTGTTTATACGACCTCGACAACGACCCACCGCATGCCCACCGTGTGCAACCTCTCTCGACGGCAGCCCGCAGCGCTCCACGCTGACCCGCAGTCATCTGCAGCACAATGCAGCAAGACGCATGCGGCATAGCGTCTGCCTGCACACACTAACAGTTGAACCGACCTGCTGGATTAGTCCGCTGTTTCAATATACAAATACTACTGTCCACCGCGCAACCGGTCCGCTGCGGATGGCATTGTTGTGTTGCAGCGCATAACGTCGAGCCTGTGCCTGAGACCGTCCGCCCTCGGCACAACCACGTCGCTTCGTCTCACGACGCTCCCCGCAATTGTGGACGCCTATGCGACGTGGCCATGCGCTGTTCGAACGGCGCATGGGGCTTGCGGAGCCTCCAGCCTCGTCGTTAGCGGCGTCCATCGTTCTGTTTACTGTGCGTGCTGCGTAGCTTTCTGCAGCGCCCGTTGACCCTCGGCCCTTTCCTACTGCAGACTAGCTAACGGCCCGCTCCCTCAACCAGAACCATTGTTTACTCTGAGCCTGCGACGATCCGCCCTGATCTGCATCACCAGCCATATCCACCACTTCTACGGTGGATTCGAGTTCCCTAGCATGTGTTGCGTCACTATCACACCTAGTACGCCGCAGAGGACCACTACCGATGACTGACGTCTGTGTCACGATGCACTTACGCCGCATCACCATTACATGCACTGCCTGTCCAACTCTGGTCCCCAGCCTTCTTTGACTCCAGAGTCGAAGATCAATCTGTGTCCTTATTGGGATCATCTCGCAAAACTCTCTGTGATCTACGCTATCAGGATCCAAGCGTCCAGCCATCCTCTCCACCGTCAATCAGCCACGTCCCAAGACTTTCCCCAGCATTCAGAGCATCAGTCACCATGGACTCCTTGTCCTCAGTCACTATGCAAGCTTTCGCGGCGTCATCACGTCCACAGTTCTCAGGCACGGAGCATCTGACACTGCTTGTTTTAACTTTGCGTCTTGCGGGGATGTGGTCAATGCGACTCAGGCAAACCTGACTTCCGGATTGAAGTCTATCTTGGACTACTATACTCGTTGCTCAAGACGTCGCTAATCGATCTTAGTCTTGTGCAACATCAACACCTTTCCGGGTATAAAACGCCTATCCATGTCGGAAAAGAATATCGCCGTGAACACTCGCCGAGGTATACCAACTTACGCAAGCACCCAAGCCGCCTAGAAGTGGCCGGTCTTATCACCATGAGCAATGCAGCTCTTCTTGAGCTCCAACTTGATCGTCTCCGCGGACCAGGATTCCTCGACTGGAATCTCTACATGCGCAACGCTGAAGGGCGCTGCATCTGCAAGGGATGTGATCTTGGGTCGCTTGTTTACCTGCATCTGGAGGTTGACACATGCCGGCTTGTCACCCCTGGCCGTTGTGATCTATATAATTTTGTTAGTATATGAGAAGAGACAAAGTTTGGGCTTCTTTCGGGCTTGAACTTACACCTTGGTTGTCGAGTCGGAAGTTCTTGAGGTCAGTGTAGATGGTATCGCTCTTGAAACCGCCTTCTAGCTTGGAGTCTGGAATGCTATCGATGAAAGCCATCATGGTCTTGCGAGTCTTACCCATATCTGTGGTCTTGTATCTTGCTCTTCTATAGATCTCTGGTTGAGGCTGGTGCGTAAAGAACGCACTCGGGCCAAAGAGGACCTCCATATTAGAAGGAGGGCGACAGATCATTGTGCGTGCGAAGTGATATGAGTGAATATGCCAAAAGAGACCAGATGGACTTCACAATACTGACGCGGCACCTTGGGATTGATGGTGTTGCCACGACGTCAGATATGTTCACTTTTCAGTGGTGACGTTGTTCAAAATGAAAGACAAACAAGGGAGCGTACTGCTTCCCCTTTGCGTCTAGTCACAACTTCTCACTTCCATTTCCAGTCTTCAACCACACCACAACCACCATTTTCCCAAAATTAGCTGCACACTATGACGACGACACTTCTTCCGCGACGCAAGGTCAATCAGCCAGGCTTAGAATGGGAAGAAGACGTCTTCAGCATCGAGCCTTGCTGGACCGAGGAGCCATCGATAGAGACCATCGCCAGGCTGACACGTGATAACCTGAAACTACCGGAAGCAGAATCAGTCACTGTGAAAGCCTTCGCCGAGGGCGCTTTCAACAAGCTGTTCTCTATTGACTGCACCAAAGGTCGATTCATCTTCCGCGTCACTTTACCTGTTGCACCAGTCGTCAAAACCAGCAGCGAAGTCGCTACTTTGGCTTTCATTCGCGCGAAAACCGATATCCCGGTACCGCACGTCATCGCACACGATGCAGACCTTTCAAACGAGCTTGGATTCGAGTGGATGCTGATGGAGCGGGTGGATGCATGCCCTCTACACGAAGTCTGGCATGGAATGTCCTGGATGAAGAAGGGCTTGTTAGTCAAGCAGATCGCAGAGCATGTGGCACAACTGTTCAACATCGAGCTATTTGGTATTGGTAGTTTAGGTCCAACCGACAAATTTGCCGCCAACGCAGATGGACCATCCACACATACAGTCGGCGAGATCGTCCAACCCGCCTTCTTCAAAGGCGACAACATCACCCTAGACATCGCCCGCGGACCCTTCCAAAGCACCCACGAGTACCTCACCGCCCGTCTCCAAATCCTCGAGCATTTCGCCAGCAAACTAGACCAGGAAGATGAAGACGACTTAGAACACTACTCGGACATCCAAGCCGTGCTATCAAGTCTCCGCACTATTATTCCACGACTCTTCCCAGACAACAGCAGCTCGACAGCAGAACCCACAATCCTCTGCAATCGCGACATCAGCACCTCCAACATCCTCGTCAACCCCCAAGGCGACCTCATCTCAATCGTAGACTGGGAATGTGTCGCAACGCTCCCACCCTACTTCGCCGTCCAAATCCCCCAGTTCCTCAAGGGACCTTCGAGGACAATTCCTCCTGCATTTACCAGCGACACCGAGTCTGAAGTACACAAGACAGAGCTGGAACTCTATGAAACAACTTGTCTGAGGAAGTTCTTTTTGGAGGAGATGGCGAGGATCTGTCCGGCTTGGGTGAGAGTCTTTGAGACGGAGAAGGTTCGGGCTGATGTGCTTGTCGCGTTGGATAAGTGCGAGAATGATATGACGGTTAAGTGGGTGAGGGCGTGGCTCGATGCTGTTGTTGAGGGGAGGGAGCCGAGGGTCAGTTTGACGGATGCGTGTCGGAATCCGTTGGGTGCTGCGTAGGCAATGTAGATGTAAGAGCAGTATGTGTCCATAGCAGAAATTGCGATTCCAGGTCCGGAATGCGATTGGGTATCATTCAACGCCTCCTCCTCCTCCTCTCTAACCCCGTGCTTATATCCCATAACTTGTATCAAGCCCCCAAGACCACATGAAAGCGTCTTCTCAAAAGAACTTGACACCCTCGCCTTCACCCCCCGACCCAAAGACCTGCGCCCTCCCCCTCTTAACACAAACCCCCAAACTCCTCTGCAACAACTCCAAATCCATACCAAAAAACTCCTCCCGCCGACTCGCATCCCCCTCGACAATCTCATACAGCGTAAGCACCGTACCCTTCTGCCCCGTCCTCTCAACCCACTCCTCCAACGCCGCAGCCCACTCCTCCGGCCTCCGCCAATATATCCACGCCTTGCCACCCTCGCTCTCTTCCCCCGCCTTCGCCTTCTTGGAAGGACTCGTGTTGATGAATTCAGCGCGGTTGCCGCCTTCGGGGGAGGCCATGTAGGTTATGATGGCTTTTGCGTCGCGCAGGGAGAGGCTGCGTCGCAGCGTGGTGTTTGTGAAGAGCGGGGTGGGGAGCGCGTCGATGAGGGAGAGGGTGAAGATGCGGTTGTGGCGGCAGTAGGATTGGATGAGCGTGGACCAGGAGGCTAGTTGCGAGGAGCGCGTGCTGGCGACTGGTTGGAGGGTGAAGAAGGGCGGGAAGGAGTAGTGTGGTGGGAAGACGAAGTTGGGGGACGTGAGCGTTGTTGCTGTTGAGGGCGTGGGCGTGGGTGTTGAGGCGGGGGCGGGGGATATTGCTGCCATCTTTTGTGCGGCTTGGTAGGTATTTGAAAGGGAAAGTAGGAGGGGTGAGCTTGTGGAACGGTTGCGTGTGGAGAGGGTTGATCGTTTGGTGCGCGTCGCTGGAGGTCTGCGGGGACTTTGCGACGTCATTGGTTGCTTGGCTTGGGCACCTTTCATCTGCATCATGGGCACAACTGCACAAAGCAGAACCCAATGCACGGCTACTTTGAACCTAGCTATTGAACATAGAACACTCATTTCGTCAACTCGCTATGTTTAGTAAATAGATCAATATCTAGCGACTTGGCCATTCAACCCAGTCTCACATCGATCGCTTTAATCAAAGAGAAGAGCACGATTCACATACGAATGTGCATCGCTTTGCTTATTTCGACCGCCATGCCATTTTACTCTTGCTTCATTCTACAGACTGTAATCACCCTATTCTCGATTACCCGGATCGAAAGTCACCCCAGCCACAATCAGATTAGGAAACTCATCAAGAAGGAGCATTTTAGTGTTGGGTGCTTCTGATATCTTTCTTCCTGGTATTATGTTCTGCCTTGGTCATATTTTCTCGTTGTTTCAACATATATACTCAGTCTTCGTTGATAGCGTCGTCGAAACACTTATTACAGATGAGAGTAAGCTTATCAGAAAACTTGCGTATGTCTGCTTCCGCATGCTGCAGCTGATCGCGAAAAGCCTTCACAAATTGACCTACGGTGACGCCATTTTCGTCTTCCGCAAAGAGGTGGTACTTGCGGGCCGTGTTTCTGTAAGCCCTATATGTGAACACGACATCGATGCGTTGGAGACCTGGCGTACACAACAGGTGTTCCATCCAATCACTCTCCTTGGGTAAAGGATTGTTCTTGCTGACTTCCAACAAATCTTGCAGATGTTCGAAAGACTCGAATTCGAACCAGGGTCGTGGCTTACCGGAGTTTCGTATCTTTGCTCTGTCGAATAAGCGTTCGTCGACGTGGTGCATGCACTGCTCCATGTTGTCAATAATATCGTGGAAGGCGTTATCGCGAGTAAATTCGAAGATAGGTTCGGGGTTCGTGGACGCTTCGTTGAAGTCGACTTCCAGGACTATCACGGTCCGCGGGAAAGAGTTGGGGAGGCCTTTCAGCTCGATACTTGTTCTCAGAGTCACGGTGATTGTGGCAATATCGCTGTCGTCATCATCGCTGTCGGTACTCTCGTCGTCCATGTTTTCATCCTTCTCCTCGTTCTTACTGTCATCTTTATCGTCATCTGAATCAGCATCTTTTCGTGGGATTTTGGGAGGGGCGTCTGGGACTGCGCTACCAGTCGGCATTCCTGTATTGGTCTTCTCGGTTTTTTCAGATGTAATGCCCTGCATGTTGTGTGGTATCTACGGTGGTGCGATAACCTGTGAGGATGGATCGAGATTGATGATAGGAGGGATAGCGACACTGGGTGCTAGACTTTATACTGCGCCGGGGGTCACGTTCATCGAGTGACATGTGTGTCCTGATATAAGTCCAAATGACCATAATAATATATTGCTAACATCCTCATTTTTTTACCTACTTCCAGTGTCACGGACTCAATTGGATCAAGACAGTTTCACATTCCAATTCGGATAGTGAAGCAACGGTACCAAAGGTCTCTTCATTTTCCCAAACTCATTCTATATTCTTACCTCCCGAATCATGCTATCCTGTTCACACTCAATCCTCATGATTCTTCTCCCAGCATTCACCGCAGTAGACCAACATTTCCTCAGGAAATCCACATATGTCCTCCTCAATATGTGTCAGCTGTTTGCGGAAAGCCCTCACAAACTGACCCATTGTAACCCCACATCCACCCTCTCCGTGAAGCTTATATTTGCGACGCCCACGGGTGTAATACGTATAGTCGAAGATGACGTTGATGCGCGGCTGAGCTGGCTCACACAACAGCATGTCTTTCCATGAGCCATCGTTTCTGCTGCGCGAATGTTTTCGCATCCGTTCCAACACGTCATCGATAGAATCGAATGAATCGAAATTGAAGTTCCTATATGGCTTCCCATTGCTTGACTGAAATACTTTGTCGACGAGGTCCAGACGCTCTTCCAGATTTAGAAGAATCAAATGGAAGTTCGTGCCGGAAGGAAAGTTGGATAGGCGATCAAAATCATCAGGGCGAGGACCATAACCGTAGTCTGTGTTGAAATCGACTTCGAACCGAATCATAGCCTCTGGGAAGGAGCCGGGGACGCAGATCAGGTCGGCACCTACGCGTAGGTTGACTGTAACGGTAGGTACACTGTCCTCTGTCTTATCAATGGTATCACTCAAACTTTCGTCGCCATCATCATCCGCTCCTTTTTTGTCCCCCATGTTTTCGTCTTTGTCATTCGCTTTCTCTCCACTTCCACTCTCATCTTTAGGCGGCACTACCCGATCCTTAAACATCTTGTCGCGGAGCACTGGATCAGTGCTACGAATGTTATCACGCCACTCTGTGCACACTCTGAGGGAGCGAAGAACTGTATCCAGAGTCAGCGGTAAGTATCAATATCAAGCGCCCACAATACATTTGAGAGAGCAGATTCGCGGAGTGAACTTACGATCAGGTAGATCTAGAAAGCCGAAGATGTTCTGCCATATCTCGTTTGGAAGATGATAATTGGCGCCATCTGTCGGCATGTCAGGTTGCTTGTGTGACATGCTTGTGCTATCGTTGCTGGACTGGGCGCGTGTATCTCCTTTCATCTTATATGGGATCTCAGACAACGCAGTTTCCCGGAAAATACCAGTGGGGTTGGGCGTTGAGAGGATTGTCATACGGAAGCCGGCGGGAGTTATACGGCGCGTAAGGTCACGTCAATCCAGAGGCAGGGTCATCAGTGAAACAATTGCGCGTGATCACCAAGCCATACTACTCATGATTTTTCTTTGACCTTGAACCATGTGACCGAGTTCAGATGCACGAAGAGACACATAGAAACTCATCAGACATCCAAACAACGCATCATTAGTTTAACTGACTACGTCAAACTTGTGAACTTCTGACTGACAGCATGAGCGACCTTTGGGTTCTAAGGCTACAAAGTAACCACTAAGATCTCTGTCAGGAGTCTACGCACCAACACGTTGGACAACCTTAATTAGTGCGAGTATAAGTAACTAGAGGAAATTTTAACCGAGCCGGCAACAATTCGTGTATCCTTACCAAACAATATACTATCACTCCACCATCTCTTCCATCCTGTACCACTTAATCGTAACTAGTCTGTTCTTCGCTGTGTTAACCTCGACCAGACCTTGTGCCCATGTCTCTCCTTTGTAATCCTGGTTTCCATAAGTGTTGTGTCGAACCTACACAAAAAGGAGCCATCTCCCTCTTCATAGTCTCCCAACCAATCGAAAATCTCAATAATTCTCTTGTACCGCAGCGTGACCTTGTGTATGGTAAGCTTGTCAGCTACTTCTTTCAACAATATCCTGAGTGAGTCAATCAAGCTCTGGAATCGGATCCCGCGATTGTCGGCAAGTTTGCGTGTGAACTTGACTCCAAAACAGCCCGCATAGATGGCGAAATGTAATTCCGCCTTTTGCACTGGAGGATCGCATATCAGCATATCTGTCCATAGGCCTTCGTCGACCCTGCTCTCGAGAGACTTGACTCTATCACGTAATTGTTCCATGGATGAGAAGCGAAAGCTATAGCCTTTATCGTCTGGATGATTTCGACAATCATCTACAGACGCCGAATAAGCAAGGTTGCTCAACTTGACAGTTCTGAGGATGGGATTGATTTGTAGACTCTTGGGATAAAAGCCCGTAGTGAACCAGTTCGAGAGCGAGGGTTTCATAGCGAAGGTGTGCCCGAGAGGCATGAAAAGTAAGTCAGCGGCTTCTACATGCAACTCGTGCGTCCATGGTGGAAGATTGGTTGTGAGGAATAGTATCTTGCGCAGTTCTGTGTCGTCTCCTGGTATGCACTGAAACCACTTCCCACACACGTGTCTGCAGCGTATTAGGTCATGGAAGCTGAGATATTCAAAGCACATCTGCAGTACCTCGGTAGGTAGACAATCGATCGCGGGTTGCGTTGTGCTTCGTACAGTGGCGTCAGGCGCAGCGGGCGCATGTTTGGTCTTCTGCTTCTTTCTCCGGGGTGCCATTGTAGGTGATTGGTGGGTGTTGGCAAGATCTTCAGTCACCACCTTAGAGGCTCTTTAAGAGATTTGACACAGCAACCATCAAACTTTCCTTCTGCTTCTAGTAAAGTCTGGGGCGCACCCTCCCGCTCCGAGAAAGATTCAGAATCTTCCTGTGCTTGCCCTTAGTCTCTGGAACAAGAGGCGACTCTTCTCCAAAAGCAAACACCTGATGGTCATCTTGTCATCTTGTCGACGTTGAGACATCGATTCAAAGGCGTTAGCACCGTGATACTTCAATCGTAAAGCCTGGAGTACTGTCATGGATACCATTATTCGTGAAGCTCAAACATGTACAAGTAGTAGTCATCCAAACACCCCGATATTGTGTACAAAGCCAATGAATCCCAAAGCCAGTCCCATACTTTTCGAGATCCTGAGCGCCGTAAGAATATGTGCAGAAGCCAGTCTTGCGCCCAGTCATGCAGTTCGACCCCCAGAACCGCGGTCATTATATCGACAAGTATCCAACTCCCATCCCTTCATACACATCCCCGCCCATTGTCTCCACCCCATCTTCACCGCCACCCCTTCCTCTTCTGTTGCTGCTGCGCACTAGCCTTCATCCTAATCTGATCCTCCTTCTGCTGCTGAAACCCCTTAACCTCCTGACTATAAACCTCATACTGACCCAGCCAGTACTCGCCCAAGCCCTGCACATCCTCGACAAAGCCCTCGGGCCCTCTGTTATACACCCAGAAGCCCACAACGAGTATCCCGCCCCAGAAGACCAGTCGCAACGCCAGGTTCACCCAGAAGATGACGGCCCGGTACATCATGTCCAGTATCTTGAGCGAGATGAAGAATATGGCGAGCAGCGCGAGGATGGAGGCGACATCGGGTTGGGTGATGAGTTTGTTGAGGAGGGGGGAGAGGTGTGTGGAGAGGGTGCGCGAGATGCCGAAGAAGGTTGTGAGGAGGTGGAGGAGGGGGTTTGCGAAGGACGGTGGGAGGAGGCGCGGGAGGAGAGCTGCGTAGTCTGGTATCTGGTGTTAGCAACCCGTGTCGCAATAGAGTGATAGGACGATAGGCGCATCAACGAAGCATACCTTGTATAAACTCCATATTGGGCGATTTGCGATTGGACGTGTAGATGTCGTGTGCCAGACGCGATAGAACGCGTTTGTGGGGTGCGGATAACGAGATTCGCGCTTGCGACTGATCTGCGCGCGGATAGTGGCTGGTGGATGGAATGGGCGACGCGAATTATGGGCTTGAGAAACGAGCACGCGATGGGGTTTATTGGGGTGTGGCTGATAATTTGCTTGTTTGCCCACACGGTTTGCGGTGACAGCTGTCCACGTTGAGTCGTTGACCCACTAAAACGCTTTCACGCACGCCGTGCAGCTCAACACACCTTATCCTGGCTGCACGTCATCCGCTCGGCTCGCTTAGCTTAGTCATCCACCCATCTGTGCAGCGAGAAGAAAGTGAGCAAATGCCTGTAGACTCAGCCGACGACAACAGTATACGATGCAAAATTCGAGCCACAGAAGAGTAATGTAGACCTCCAAGTTACTTGCTTCTTATCATAGTACCCGCGCAGGCATCTAGCTTGTCGCTTAGATGAGTTGCATCTCCCTTACCGAAACCCACCCATGATGTGCGCAAAAGCAACTGACACCGAAGATCCCTTACTCCACCACCCTGCGTCTTGCATTTCAGCCCCCAAGAGTCCAGTATCACGACCTTCACCATCTCGCGGGGTTCACCCAGCCAGATAATGCGGTGAACTTTTCGAGCGCGGGAAGCGCGATCGCGCATGAATCGCGTCCCGCTCGCTTTTCGATAGTCGAAGTGGAGTGCAGTGGAGATGGCGGCCGAGCAGAGTTTCAGATCGCGTATAGCAACATTCTGGGGTCTTGGAACTGGCGGTGTAGACCACGTTTTTCTTCCTTTGGCACAGATGAGGCGTTTGCACGGCTAAGGGGTCGGCGTCGGCAGTCGTGGGTGGGAACGGTCGGGGCCGAGTTGCCGCTTGGGCTGATGTCGTGATGCGTGGTGCGTGATGTCTTGCAGCGCAGGGCGTATTGCGCAATGGGAGGGAGATCACTGCAGCAGGAAGTGAAGGATCATGTGCTAATGAGTTTGTTCATTGATATGGGTACAGAGGACTAGCCTCTCGCAGTGCTACAACTGCAGACCCGACTATGTGGTTGGCTATACTACTGAATTGCATTCTCGTG